GTTTTGAACTGTAGACCCCAAGGTGACAGTAATTGGGATATGACAGGATCATGTACCAGGGGTGGCTAACACCAAGGAACCCTGCCTCATCAACTACAAGGGGGCCCAATGGGCGCATGACATGGCGCTAACCCTAAGAGGCCAGACGACCTTCTTGACGCCCAAGACCATAGGACAGCGGCACCCCCAGACCGCATCTAGCATGTAAACCCTAGGCCTCTCATGTCTATATAAAGGGAGGTCTAGGGTTCCCCTTGTTCCATATATCCTCAGATAGGAGAACTCTTGGTAGCAACATCGTACACCATTGTAACCCCTCGCATGAGATATCCTATAAATAACCGAAACCAGCATGACATAGGGTACTGATATCCGGAGGCCCGAACCTAAATAAACCCCTTGTGTGACCTTCGATCCATGACTTCCAGCTGCGCTTGGACCTCTACCGTGGGACCTGATGGAAATATGCTTCGTCAATTGGCTCGCCAAGCACGGTCGGCACCGGGTGGAGACCGATCATGGATCGGATATTCCTCTGCTTCCTGTGGCCTACCACCGGGAGAGAGCTTAACTTTTATCTCCCTCATGTTCGTCGCGGATGAGGCGGGCCGGGTTGACACCAACCTACCATCTGACCTCACCTTCTCGGGACCTCGCAAAAGACCTCATGGTGATCTCGTGCAGACTATGGAGTGGAGGCGCCGTCTTGGGCTCCACGATGACCTCCGTCTTGTAGTCCTCCTGGTCTTGGTCTTGTTGCACTGAAATGGCAACCTTTGCCTGATGCCTCGGTACTCCGCGGCTGCGCTTGCTCCCTTTGCACCAAAGAGGAAAGGAGGACGCTGCGCGGGCTGGCACCCGCCTGACGCCTTTGGTCGTCATGGCTTGCGTCACGGGCACCTCGTGAGGTACCCCGCCTTGATCTCTCCGCCTCCTCGCGAGCCAGCCTGATGAGGCCGTGCCTGAGGAAGCTCCGCGTTGTCCGCCCCGCGAGGCTTGGCCCCTCGCGAGGGTATTGGGTCTGTGTTGGTGAAGATGGGTCGTGCTGGGCCCCCTTTTGAGCCATGCCGCAGGTCGCAGGCAGGCAAGTCTGGGGACCCCCATTCCCAGAATGCCGACAGTAGCCCCCGGGCCCAAGGCGCGCCCAGACTTGGCCGTGCAGGGAGGCGGAAGGGCGAGGGCGAAGCGCCGCGGGCCCTAACAACCTGCGGCCTTGGGCGCCACATGGCGGTTGATAGGACGTGGGTGGTACTGCTCCCCCACGCCCCCCCTGATTTTGCGCCATGCTAGGCGGACTCGTAGTTGTACACAGCCGCTCCCCTTTCTGTCGCTCGAGCGCCCTTTGTCCTTCCTCCGCTTGAACTCCAGCTTCTGTTTTCG